TCTAATCAATAATTGGAATAAAACCTCTTGAATTGATTATCAATAATCAATAGTAGCATAATTAAATTGCTACTATTGACAATAAACTATGATAATATAAATTGAAAGAAGTGATTATTTGAAGTAGAAAATTTACAGAATACGAATTGAAGAATAAATTTTGATCTGAATTTTACTTGAGCATTATTCAATCGAATTTTACTAAATTTATGATAAAAAATCACTTTGTTGCTTCAGGAAAATCAATTGAATTTGTCCCAGAAAAATAATATAAAATTGTAAAATGAGAAAATTTAGAATTGTGACAAAAAAAGAATGAATGAAATGTATGTTTAACGATGATGGAAATATTTGATTTAACATGAAAACATTAAATAACAATTGGTGTCTTTATTGAATAAATATTCCACAAATATTTACATATCGGATTAAAAACTGATCAATGTGACAGGAAAATATTGTCAACCGTATATGGACAGTAAGTAGTTCAGTCTTCTTAATAAATCAAACTTTCTAAATAGCGTATTAAAATGAGAATAATAATTGCGAATTAGAACAACATAAAATGCAAATTAGAGTAAATTTGACAAATATAAATTTTACACACAAGAAATTTGATACACTGAAATTAATAAATGCATAAATAACCAACTGTTATCTGAAATGATAATAAATAAAATGATTAAAAGCTATCACTAATTTCTGATTTCAATCATTTAATATTGCAGAAAATTATCAAAAAAAAAAAAGAAAAGAAAAGCGAAAAGGTAAAGAATTAAGAAATCTATTACATTATTACTTAAATTTATTACTTAAATATTCAATTAATATTTTATTTAAAAAAAAAAAGGAGAAAATTTGCATTACTATTTTTAGTAATATCAATACTTAACTTTTCTAGAATTCTTCGTACTAGACAACCCAAAGTTAAATCTAAAAGCTTTTTGTTATTATTATTAGCAGTAGTATTGGTTTTAGCCTAATATTTCATTCCATTTCACATCCTGATAGCTTCTCTTATCACACTTTTGCATCATATCTCCATTTATCCATCAAAATATTCTAAATTAAACTCTGATGCTTACAAGTCAAAATTTAAATCATAAATCAAACATACATTCCATTCCTCAACCATCTTTTAAACTAATTCTCTTTTATTACTTTACTGTTTCCTTGTAACTTTCATTCTAAACAAATATTTATAAAAATCCTTCGTTAGAGCATCTTTCTTTCCGTTTTTCCGTTTTTTTTTTTAAGTTTATATTCTAGTGAATTTTATAGTTTTTTCATTCATTTGTGAAAAAAAAAATTAAATACTCAAATTATTATTCAAATTTAGATAAGTGATTATCACTTAGGATAGAAAGATAAAAGGAGAAAATGTCAAACTATTAATCAGCTCGCATTTTTTACTTTGAAATTTAATTAAAGCAATGTTTTTCAAGTTAGTTTATTTATGAGTCATATGTCCTTGAAAAGCTATGATTGATGATTCTTCCTTCTGTTGGTATTTCTCGGGATGAATATCTGTTTACATACATTTTTCAATCCATCAACATTTCAATTGTTCCCACCAAAAACTCCTTTGTTACAACATTTTTTTTTCTTCGAGAATAGTCGAGAAGAATTAGAATAGTGTTTTGGAAATATCGAAATAATTTTATTGTGAAATTTAATCATATTAAAGTTAGATAAATAATTTATTATTAAATTAAACTTAAGTCTAATTTGTTTATGAAAAAAAGAAAATGTGACAAAATTTAGCTTTTCAACTTTTTTACCAATAATATTTTGTATTTTTTTTTTTAAATTTAAGTCTGTTGGATAAAATTAAGTTTCATTTCAGAAGATTTAAAAATTTTATATCTAAATATTGCTATTATTTAATCTGTTCTTTATAATCTTATAAAAATTTCAAACGATTACACAAATTTCCAAAATTTTCTTATCTAATTTCTAATTTGGCTAATTTTTGAAAGTTATTGCATTAAAAATGATAAGAGTTTAAAAAATATTTATTGTTGATTAACTCTAAAATTTCAAATTGTGTCATTTTAAAATTGTCATCGATTGTAATCTTTTTTGATGGAAGTTTTTAGGACCTTTTCCGGCAGTAAATTCGAGAAATTCATGAAAGATTGAAAAGAAATGAACGGAGATTAATACTTTATTTGGGAAATTGATAGAGAGGCAAATTATAAGTTAATGCATTTTGGGAAAAAGTGATTGAATGCTTGCAAATTATCAAATTTTAATTCCAAAATTTTAAAAGTTTTCTGATTTACTCAAATTCTTACCTACTTTTTACTTTCATATTACTTATTAAATCAATTTCACATTTAGCAATGAAAATTTTTTAATAAACAAAAGGAATTTATCAACAATTACAAATTCACTTAAATAAACATATTATTAATCGAAAACCAAATTTTGGTAATTAATCAATAGAGAATAAAGTTTTTTTTTTTTTGATTTTATTTTACGAGTAAACAAATTAATTTAATTTAATCTTTTGTTTTTTTGGGGGAAAATCTAAAAAATTTTAAATAAGATCGATTGAAGAAAATGAAATGATGAAAAATAATGCATTATTTATTTAAGTAAACAATTTTAACTTAACACTAGCAGCTGCTAATTTGAAAATTAGATCAATGGAAAGTAATAACAGGAAGTTATTAATAACAGATAAGTTGCATTTTCCCTTTTTTTGTTTTTATTGAACATTTAGCAATAAGATTGATAGCATCGATATTAGCTAAAGTTATTGGTGCAAAATTATTAATTTCAAATAAAAGTTTAATAAAATACATTAAAATATTATAACAAAAAGTTGACAGCAAATGAATTTCTCATTAATAATACAACGAATAGAAAACTATGAAATAATATAAAAAGAAAAAAACTTTAGATTCAAAATTTGAGTTAATTAATTGATTAAAAGAGATAAAATATGTTGAAGAATGAAAAAGTTTTATTTTTGTCTTTGATAATAATAGCGTTGTTAAAAGTAAAATGATGTTTTTGTTCATAGCTACAAAATTATCGTTGCTAAGGAAGCATTTATAGACATTTCAAATATTGATAACATTTTAAGGAAAATCTAAATATATGCTAAATGTTATTGTTAGTATTGATCTGATTACTGATAATTTGAAATCAAAACAGAAAAAAAATATTCCATTGATTAATAATTTAAATTTGCTGTTAGAGGAACAGATGTGAATCAAAAGTGATAAACAAAAATAAAAATAATGTAAACATTTCTTTTGTACATTTCATTTTATAATTTTCCTTTATATAATGATTGCTATTTGTTTTTTTTTTCTGAAAATGTTTCTGTTAAAATTAATTTTGTTTTTAATTCGTTTGCTTATTTTATTTAATATTTGTTTATTTATTTCTTTTTTGTTGTTGTCTTGTTGAATCATTTGTTTCTTTGTTTGTTTAATTTGAGACTTACTATTTTTGAATTTGTGCGCATATCATGAAAAAGCAATAAAATTTCCAAAAGTGATCTTTGTGTATAGGAAAAGAAAAAAGTGAAATAAAATTGAAATTTTTTTGCCGGAAGTGCTTATGGAATTCATTGAAATAGAACCATTAAAAAATGATAAATGAAATTTAAAAATTCTCATAAAAAAGACATTGTCAGAATACTTTATTATTTCAGTTTTATTTTCATTTGCGAAATATTTCAAATAACTGTTTGAATTTAAAATAGCAGTTTTAAGATTTCCAGAATTCTATTAGCAGATGACAAATTTTAAAATAAAGCAATTGATTCCTAAATTGGTTGAATCTGACTCGCTGCGTTTTTTATTTTTAACTCTTAAAATTTTCTAAAAATCTCGATTTTGAATGGAGATAATTTGAAATGCAATACCTTCCTTACTTGATAAATTCAGTTAAAAAAAGGTTTTTAAAAAGTAATCCGAGTTTTTTTTTTATTTCTTATCAGCGAATTTAAATGATAACCTAAAATTGTGCATAAAGTGATGGATACGAAATACATTTCAAACTGAATATAAATTTTCTTTTTTTTTAAAAAAATGATTGTCTTCTTACAAAAATACTTTTCTTGAAGCATTCTCGATAAAGTAATCATAGCTGAGTAAAATTTCTAGCAAAGTAATAAACCGTTTAAATTAAGTATGCTTATAATCTCAGAATGAAGATTGAATAAAATTTAACAGTTAAATGGTAGGTCAAAGAGTTATACTCAAAAATTAACTTACATAATTTCAACTTACTAACTTACATAATCTTTAAAAATTAATTTACTCGATTAATTTTTTTTTCAAATTTCAAAGTGTAAAATATTTAAAGAAATAAAAATTTGGAATGGAAACGTTTAACAAAATATTTTATTTAAAATTTATGTAAAATACTAGTAATTTTATTACTGTAATGATAAAACACACATTAAAAAAAATGCTGAAAATGGCTTTATTCTTGCAAAATAACTTTATTGATTCAAAAATAATTTATGATAAATGAATTAAAAAAAAAAAAATGAATTTCAAAATAATAATTTTCAGAAAATCAATCCTAAAATTTCGGCAATACCAACAAAACAATTTTGCATCGGATTATAATTCATTTTTTTAACAAATACAGTTTTCATAACAAATTCCGATTTCTGACTATAACAAATGATTGGTATTGCTGGCACAATCAATTTGACAATGGCACAGATGTAACTTTGTTTTTTTTTTTTGTGAAATTTTTAAAATTTTAAAAGGAATGTATCTGAAATAAAGTTTACTAATTTTTGAAATTAATCAGAAAGAATGTATATTGGATCATTTTATTACTTACTTATCATAGCTAACCTTAAAGTAAAGTAAAACGCTTTTTGATAAATTTAAAGAAAAATTGTAAAATCTACCTTATTTTGAGTTGAATCTCATTGCTAATATCCTATTTTCTTCTTCCAAAACTAACATTTCTTTCTCGAATATAAAATTTTCAATATTTCAAAAAAAAAAAAAAAAAAAAAACTAAACAGCATCCGAAATTAATGGTAAAATTTTATTCCTACACGATGTGGCAGAAGTAACAATTCTGGTTGCACTCCCTGAATCTATATTTGGTGTCACATATTGGAGTACCCTTCTTTCGGACACAATATTATGATCTAATGATCTACCAGCTTCTTGTGCTGATCCACTACTTACATCAACTCGTAATTGATCTGGATTCAATGACTTTAACGTACCACTGATATTATTGCTAAACCTATCCAACATTGGAACAAAATTTGACTGTGTTCTTTTACTGCAATTTGGATTCTGAAAAGTAAACATTTTTTAGAAAATCCTAATAAGAATAGATTAATTTAATTTATTCTCAACTATTCAAAGAAATTTTAACTTCATAATTCATTGAATTTTACACTTTTCACTATTTCTCATTACAGCAAAAGAAAAAAAATTTTTTTTTGACTAAAAAAGCATAATTAAAATTAACAATTAAAATATAAATTTAACGCTTTCATCTTTTTTCCAATTAATAATTTATGTTTCTTATTTATTTCAGTATAAAACTTTTGCTAAAATTGAGAAATAAATTCGAAAAATTTTTCATTTTCTACTGTCCAAAAGGTTATGAGAAATATTTCTTTCATTTCTTTTATTTATTAACTATAAATTTAAAAAAAAAAAAAAAAAAAAGAAAGTGCAATTCGATGTAAAAGTCATTAACTATTTAAAGTTTACTTTTTCATCTTCCTCCTCCATTCGTCGTTTTGAAGTAAATGCTGCTATTTCATTGATTTTTACACATTTAACATTATCTTCTTTTTTCCTAAACGGTGGCATAGAACGTCGATTAGTTTCTTTTGAAAAGTTTGATGAAAGTAATATTGCTGGCGTAGTAGACGTTTTTGTACGTGAAGGTGAGTTGCGTGAACGAATATGATGACTTAGTGAAAAGAATGCTAAAAATTAGAAATAATATCAGTGAAAAGTTGTGATAAATATCAGTGAATAAAATTACTTATAAAATATCATATGCAAATTTTGATGAATCAATTTAAGATATTAAACTTTTAAGGTATTAAACGTGTATTAAATTTAGTATTAAATTTAAGTATGAAATTTAAGATATTAAACTTACCACCGTTAGAAAGTTTATTTTTACGTTGTCTCATCAGCATAGTACCACTATCTGATTCTTGTCGATATCCAAGTGCAGCATTTTGTTGACGTAATGCTCGATTAGTACGTGTTTGAATTTTCCATTTTGTTATTGCTTTTGTAACAGTCGCAAAAGTTCTGTACAGAAACAATGACAAATTCAAAATTTTATTCTAATTAATAAAATGATTTAATTTTTTTCTTTTTTTTTTTGTATATTTTAATATGATATGTCGAGATAAAAAGATTTAATAATTAAATATAATATTTGTACAAACTTTGATGATAAAGGCTTTTCAAGATGATATCGAGCAATATTTGTACCAGCTAAACCATGTTCTACGACATCAGCGCCAATCTGCTCTTCGTAATCTGTAACCCGTATTCCAAGAGGACTTTTACCCAAAATCTGGAAAAAAAAAAAAAAAAAACTTGGGATTAATGTTACTGCTTGGAAAATATAATAATTGGAAATATTACGATAGCAATAATATTTTCATTGAATTAAAACAAAGAAACAATAAGAAAGAAAAAAGTAAGGAAATGAAAGAAAAATTGAAATTAAATTACAATTAGGGCAAGAAGTCCGGCGATAGCGCTATAAACGAGAATAGTTATTGTACAAAGCATTTGTATTGCAAGTAATTTAAAACTTCCCGAATATATCAAACCATAATGTCCATTTGTTACTGCCTAAATTTCAGGTAATAATTTTAATAATAATTGATAAATGTACAAAACATTAAGTATTATTACTTATTATCAAACTATCATTGCCTCTTTTATATTATTGAATTATTGATTAGCTTTGAAAATTTAAACAAATTTTTTTTTGAAAAATAAATAAAACATCATCTGATGAAATTATACATACCAGCACTTGATCGTCTTCAGCAAAAATACCAACTGCGCACATACCCCATATGGATGATGTAAGATGAATTGGTATAATGCCAACCGGATCGTCAATTTTCAAAAATTCCAGAGCCGGTATTACTGAGATAGAAATGGTTGAACTAATTGCACCGATCAGCAATGCATGCCAGGGTCGTGCAACGGCGCAAATTGCTATATGAAATGAACTGTTTTAAAAATTGAGCTTCTGTTATTTTTGTAGGAAACATTGGAAAATTTTAATTTGAAATTGATAAATTGAAATAAATTTGGGAATTTGAAATAAATTTAGGAATTTGAAATAAATTTGAGAAGAAATCAAAAAATTTTCTAATATTTTTGATATTTTTTCTTCAAATAGATTAATAAACTTCAATTTTTCCTTTACTAAGATATTATTGTTAATCAAATATCATTTTAAACTATAACTAATTGTAATTAAACGAATAATTGCAATTAAAAATTAATTAAAACACTTTGAATTCAAAAAAAAAATTAACCTGTAATTGCAACTACTGAAGAGAGTAAACCAAAAATTAAATAATTAACTTGTAATTTTCTTGTTTTAGCAAAACTGAATGTAATCGATGTGACACCACCTCCAATTGAACTCATTATTGTTGCCACCGATGCCCTAAAATATTTCTTTCCTCCTTTTTTTTTTTTTTTTAATTCAAATTGTTCAAATTTCTTTTCTTTTTTTTTCTCTCTCCTTCTCTCTCTCTCTCTCGGTTCCCTATAAAAAAATGTTTAATATTTCTCAAAACTAAATTTCAATGTTTAAATTGAGGAAATGATAAATGCTTTAAAGTAAATTGCTTCTTAGCTCAAAAATGCAAAAATGCTTTCAACACTTTTCATGTTTTTTTTTTTTTTTCAATAATTTTACATTTTTCCAGATGGTATGATGAATTTATAGAAAAATATTACATCATTTCCGGATTTGAAGTTTAATCGTTCATGCTGTAATCATTAGTTCAACTTTTTCTAATATCCGTTTTTTTTTTTTTTTTTTTTTTGTTGAGATAACTGATATTTAACTCTTGATAAATGAAATATCAGATATGAAAGTGACCTAGCTGCAAGTCGCCAACGACCATTTGTGACACCCCAAGCTGATCCAGAATTAATTCCGAACCAACCCCACCAAAGCATAAAAGTTCCAAGAAGCGCATTTGTTGGTGAGCTCATTTGATGCACCGAATTTTCATTGAATCGATTTCGTCGTGGCTTCAAATAAATGGTAGCTACTAATCCAATGATACCACCAACCATATGAATCTAAAATTTAATTAAAATTTGACAAATATTTTCTCATCTTAATAATACATTCTGTACAAAGGAACCGTGATTAAAAATATGAGGCGCTATTGACTGAGTTAATGCGCTATTGACTGAGTTAATGTGGTAATATTTGACAATTTTTTCTTATTAATTCTTTTTACTTTCCATATTCTCAATTGTACTTTTCATCAGTTATCCATTGATACTTTCTTTTTTTGCTTCATTTGTAAATATTTTAAAAATTGTGCAAAAGTATATGAAAGTAATTACTACGATATTTACATAAAATTAGTATGTTCTGCACTATATACGCAATTATTATCACATCAAATTCATATATTTTTGATAATATTTTCAATTGTTGTTTTTTATTTAATAACAATAATAATTAATAATAACAATGATAATAATAATAATAATAATAATAATAATAATAATAATAATAATAATAATAATAATAATAATAATAATAATAATAATAATAATAATAATAGAATTACACATGAGCAGCAAGCCATCAAAGTCAACGACGCCTAATTTGAAAAACACTCCTTGACTGTCCCATACCCAATGAGAAGGTAATGCTTGTATTAGAATTACAATACAACCCAGTAAAATATATGATCTGAGTTTGGCACGTTCAGCTACAGCACCTGAAAATTTAAAATTATAATTTTGAAATAAAATCAAAATTTCATCTAAAAATTATTAATTATTAAAGATAAAAGTTTAATAAAACGAAAGATTTTCATTCATTGAATTTAGAAATAAAAAAGAAAAACAAAAAATTTGCTCAAAAAAAAAAGAAGAAAAACTTATTTTTAGATCTAAATTCTTATTTAAATTAAGCAATTACTAATTTTAATATCACTAAATTTATAGAATTTTTTTTTTTTTTTTTTTTTTTGGGGGGAATTTGATAAAAAAAATATATATCATCCGTACCAGAAACAATTGTTGATGAGGTTGTTGCAAAACTAAGCTGAAATAGAAAATTTGCATAAGCCCAGCCTTCATCACGTGGGGAATCAAAGTCCCTGGAATTGATAAATTTTTATTAAGGATTTCACTTATCAGATAAAAAGTAGTAGAATGATAAGAAGATAGTTTAATGAAAATTTTAAACTTATAACTTATGAATTCTTGAAGCTTTTTGAAATTCTGAAAATTGAAAATTCTGCTCAGCCATTTTCTTCACCTTTTCTTAATAATGAAATAATTTATAATCAATAACACAGCGTTAAATTTTAATTAAAAATTATATTTTAAATTAGAAATTTTTCATATTCTAAAATGCAATGTCTTTTTCATTTCGTCAATTTCACTTTTTTCTTTTCCAATATTTTAATTTTTTCATATATCAAATACCGATACATCTCTTTTTTTTATTATCATAAGATTGTGCTGCACAATCTATTCAAATGATTAAAGCATATCATTAATTCCTTTCAAAAATAACAATGAGACATTTTTAATTGCATCAAATATTGATTACATTTGAGGATTTACTTGAGAAAAAAAAATTTTCTATTTTTAAATTTCAAAATTTTCATTTTAATCAGTAATTCCTTCCAACCTTTTATTTTTGCAATAGGATTTATTATCAAATGGTAAATAGAATGATATGATATGATAAGATAAGGTGCGCTATTTATTGTAAGATATGTTATAGGAATAGATAAAATAGAATGAAAACATTAAATGATTACAGATCAAATTTGAAATGATTATTATTGCAAAAAAAAATTCAAAAATTTATAATACATAAAAATATTTTCATAAGTCTATTAGTTAATTTAAAAACAAACAAAAAAAAAAAAACTTTGCTCCAATGTTTCAAATTGTTTCATTCTCGAATGAGTAAATAATCGTCTGATTGGTTTCATTCTCAGATAAGTAAGTAATTGTCAATGATTACATTCTGTGATAAGTAGGAGATTATCAATTGCTTTCATTCTCGAATAAATAAGTAATCGCCAATTGGTTCCAAAAATGAAACAATACATCTACGTCGATGATTTTTCTTTTTTCGTCTTTTTTTTTCTTTGCTTTTTTAATTTGATTATTATTATTTTTTTTTAAATATTATAAACTGAACGAAAGTTATTGATTGAAAAAAAGTAAAACATTTTGATAGTGAAAAGAAAGTAGAAAGTTTTGTTTGCTGTATTACAACGATAAGTAGTGATAAAAAGCAATGATAAAAAAAAGAAGGAACTAAAGATAATTTCGATCTGATCTTCGCCTCAGACATTTTAACATTTTACTAAAGTGCAAATGATTAAATACACAAATAATTATTATTAATGATATGAATTTGTTTTAATAAATTGAATTCTCAATAAATTTTATTTTGAAAAATTTTTGTAATTAAAAATATAATTTTGTTGCAATATAGAAAGAGTTTAATTCTCTATTATAAAATTTGAAATTTATTTTGAGAATGAAACTAACCTTTGTGGATTATAAAAAAATTTGCCCCATCCTGTGATGGCATTACTGTATGGTCCATTACCAAAGCTCAGTCCATAACCAAATGCCCAATAAGCTAAACCACCAAAGACGACGTCAACAACATTTTTCACCATAATGTTTACTTCATCTTTTGCTGCCACACTACCACTTTCTAATAATCCAAAACCTAAAATAAGAAAGAAAATTACTTATTAATAAATTTAAAAAAATTTTTAACTTTCATAAATTTTATTTTTAACTGGAATTTTTAGCAAGAAATTATAGTTTTAATCTTCAAAATTATTTCTTTCACTTCTTATTTTTTCATTATTTCTATTGTTCATTTAATATTTACAATATAATAGTGTAAGCCAAAGAAGTTAAAAATATTTTAGGAATGAATTTTTTTTTTTATCACAAATAAAAATATTAAAATAATACTCACAGACTTTTATCACATTATAATTTATTAAAAATTAATTTAAATCTATGAAAATTTTATAAAATTTAAGAATTTAAAAAGAAAAAAAAATTAATAATTTAAATATGGGAAAATTTACCTACCAGAATGCATAGTAAAAATGATGAAACTACTGGTAGTAATCCATACCGCATCATCTTGATATAATTTTTCAACTTCCACACTATATGGTAGTTTAGCATGTAATGAATAATGTTTCGTTTCTAAAATAAAAATTCTAAAAGTTTTAAAAATATTATTAATTCTTTAAAAAAAAAAATGAAATAGAAAAGAAAAAGATGAGAGAGAGAGAGAGAGAAGAAACTAAAAATTGAAATAGTAATTAATAGAAAAATTAAAAATTGAAGTAATAATCAAAAGAAAAAAGTTAAAACTGAAATTAATAACTAATAAAAATTAAATTAATAAATAATTTGTAACGTTGGATGCATTTTTTCTATCATAAATTTTGTTTCAAATTATTAAGTTATTTCGAATTTCGAATATGTCTTTACAATGTTAAAGATAATTATTTCATGTGTTTATAAATAAAATTTATAAATTTATTACATCAAAAATTTCGAAAATATATTTATGCAATACCATTTCATTTGAAAAACGATAAATTTATAAAATTTAACTAACTCAGTCAATAAATGACCAAATTAAATTAGCATTTAAAATTTGACAAATTTAGTTTTTATCATAAAATCATCAAATCTACAGTCCAATGGAATTAAATATTTGATCAATTTTTTTTTTGGGGGGAGGAAATAAAAACTCTCATTCTGTTTTTTTTTTTTGATTGCATTAAAAAGAAAAATAAATTCAAACTTATTTGCATTTGATTTGATTTTCAAAAAAGTTTTCGTAAATTGAAATATTCTAATTTAATAATTTTTTAGCTCTTTTTTTTTACATTCAATTTCTGTTTCTTTTTTTTTTTTTTAAAGAAAAATTCAACTATTCAATTTTGTATTAAAGTATTATGCATGAAAGGTTTTTCTTTCTTTTTAGCTTGAAAAAGTGAAAATACTTTCTTCTTCAATACATTTGCCATTTGTTATGATTATTCTCAGAAAATATCAAATTTGACGCATGCAAGCAAATTTATGATAGAAGATTTCTCGAGAGGACAAACAATTTATAAGAAGATTTCTCGAGAGTACAAACAATTAGATATAAATTATTTAACTAAATTCATTATCAATCCATTATCATCAACTAATTATCTGCAAAAAGATTATGCTATTCTCATGTGTAATTGAAATGCTAAAATTTGTTACTTTTTTTAGCTTTACTTGATTTGATTAAAGTTATTTTTTTGTGATAAAAATTAAATATTTTGATTTTTGCAGCCAAATTGATATTTCTGCAAAAAATTTTAATAAATTTTTTCTTTTCATTTTAATAAATTACTTAATAAAACAATTTTTTTTAAATTTTAACAAATTACTTAATTAAAGCATAATTGTTTTTTAAATGTAATTAATGGAATGAAAATTAAAGACTAATTTTAATTGGAGCAATTTTATAAATTTTGAATTTAACAATATTTATTATTAAATTATATAACTTTTCATTGTCCTCAAACATTCGTTTGTATCTTTGAATTTGAATAAATTTATTTATATATAAGCTAAGAAAGAACTGTAAGATTTATTGATTTGAAATTAAAAGATTTCAATTAATAAAAATTTAAGTTTTTATTTTTTTAACTTTTTAATTTTTCATTGAGCTTTTAACATCTGCGAAGGAAGTCATTCTTGAAGTTTTGCTTTCTTTACTGTGAAATTAATAAATTAGTAAATAAACCAATAAATTTAGCACATATTTAATATACATTTTATGATATAAATAAGCGATGTTACACAGATTTAGTTCATTTCTTTTGTCTTTTTTTTTAATTTAAAAAATTATTATTTTACTTTAAAATTCAAATTCTTGAAATCATAATTCACTAATTTGAATAATAAATTTGTCTATGGTCAGACGATTAAACATTGAAACGAAGTTTGCTTCATGAAAATTCGATTTAAATTACAATTTTAATATAAGTTAAATGAAATAAAGTCGG